CATATAAATTTGTAGAAATAAATAGTGCTTGGGTAAAAATCGAATAAAAAATAAAACTTGCATTATTTTAAACACTCGTTATCCGACGGCCACAGAATCAAATTCTCAAAAGTCAATAGAAACAGCACTAACATACAAGACAGCCATTGAGCTCTTGAAATTGTGAATACCTTGAAGCGTAATTTACTCTTTTCTTTTGGGTCAGTTTTGTAATTTCAGACACTCCAAGGAAGCATAATCCGCGTCAGATATTCAAGTGTGAACAAGTAGAATAATAGGAATTCACCCGTTGTCAAACGCGCACAGAGGAGAGAGAGAGGCTATGGCGTGCAAAGCTCGAACCTTTTACCAAAGCATTCTCTGAAGTTTTATCGGCCGCTCTTTTTGTTTTTCAGCTCTCTTCTCTGTAAGTTTTTAATCAGTTTCCTTTGCTTTAGATTTTAAAAATTTTTAAATCTATTCTGGAAGTGATGATGAAAGAGAGAGAATATTTAGGTGAGTCATCTGGGGAGAAAAATAAGGAGAACCCAGATGATAAGATGGAGTTTCAAGAAAAGGGTATTGATTTTCTTGCAGAAAACGCCCAGAATAAAATTAAAATGATGGGTGGTTTAGATGAAAACGCTGTTAAGATTGGGAATTCTGGTTCTCAGGAGCTCACGCTTAGTTACCTCTGTGAAAATTCCAAACTTGGAGTTTCTGAGAAAGATTTTTCAGGCAAAAATCTGTTGAATTCTTTTGAAAAATTGAGTGGTTATAAAGGAAAAGAGATATTGGTTTCCGAGGATCAAAATGAAATGAGTAATAATTTGTGGGTAGAGAGAGATTTTCTTCGGTTGAATGAGAATAGAGGGAATTCGTCTAAGAGGGAAGTTGACAATGAGAAAATTGGGGGAGAGAATGGAGAAAAGAAGCCAAAAGTTGAGTCTTTGAACCTTTCTTTAGCGTTACCTGAGGTTTCAATCTCTTTGGCTGGGTCTAACCGCATCCAAAATGGGGATCTTCCAGACCGGCTGAGGCCGAGTAGGAGTGTTCAGTCTCTGGTGCCATCTTATAACAATACAATGACAACTTACTCAAATGATTACACAGCTGCCTCGCTTTCCTATTCATATTCCCACCCTTTTTCGCACAATCCCAGTTGCTCACTCACTCGCAATTCAACAGAGAATTTTGAGTACTCGGCTGGGAGTCACCGGAGGGAGTGTGATCAGATATGGAATTGTGGGGAAGGGACTAATGGGTCGGTTCATAGCCGCTTTAGGCCTATTGGGGATGGGAATGTTGCATTTTCTAATCATGAAGTTGGTGGTGGAGGATTTGGATTGGGTAATTGTGGTAGAATCAATAAGGATTCATGTAATAATAGTCTTCATAAGACTACGAGCTCAGACAATCATTCCTTTTTCCCATCTGAGTTGCCAGCAAGGCCGAGGATAGATGCTCAATCGGGTGATTTTGGAGGGAGAGCATCAGAGGGTCGAAGAGATTTGGAGAATGTAGACGGAGGTAGGGGTCGTAAGATTTCTATGCCCAAGAGGATACTCAGAGAAATTGTATCGGAGTCTATTCCAGTAATGGCTCAGAAAATTCAGGAGCTTACTGATGAAACAATTGAATCTACTAAGGAATATTTGAAGAATCTCATTAATATGCCAGAGAGGAAAGATGAATTGATGGGGCTCCAAAACAGACTCGAGAGAAGATCCGATCTGACCAAAGAGACTCTCTCAAAGTGTCATAAGGTCCAGCTTGAAATTTTGGTTGCAATTAAAATGGGGCTTGGAAGCTTCATATCAGGCAAAAGCCAACTTCCAACTGCTGAATTGGTTGATATATTCTTACTTCAAAGGTGCCGAAACATTATCTGCAAGAGGATATTACCTGTTGAAGATTGTGACTGCAAAATTTGCTCAACAAAACAGGGATTCTGCAGCGAATGCATGTGTCCTGTATGTCTAAACTTCGATTGTGCCAACAACACTTGCAGTTGGGTTGGTTGTGACCTTTGTTCTCACTGGTGCCATGCAGCCTGTGCACTTCAGAGCAATCTCATAAAGCCTGGCCCATGCGTAAAGGGGCCTTCAGGGACAACTGAGGTACAGTTTCATTGCCTTGGATGTGGTCATACTTCCGAGATGTTTGGGTTCGTTAAGGATGTTTTCATGAATTGTGCTAAAAATTGGGATGCCCAAACCATGATAAAAGAGTTTGACTGTGTTAGGAAAATCTTTAGGGGAAGTGAAGATCGCAAAGGCAAGGAGCTGCATGTGCAAGCCAATGAGATGCTTACCAAGCTTGAGAACCAGATAATGACTCCTTCAGATGTCTGCAATTTCATTTTCCAGTTTTTCAACTGTAAGTATCCAAACCAACTTTTCTTGCTCGTCCTTTGACTTAGTTGTTCTTTGCGATTGGCAAATTTCATCTGAAGCAAATTTTTTCATTACCAAAGATGTGTTGTTAATTTTCATCTGTTCTTCTGGAAGGCTTTGCTACAATTATGTATGGTCATTTATCTCATTTATTTCATGGAGGATTGCATGATTCTATGGAAGTTAATGAGATTCTCAAGTCGATTACTTGCATTAAAATGAAGAAATAGAGATTTTTTTCTTTTGGTTGCAACTTCTGGATATTAAGATGTTTTGGTCAATCAAATATTAAAATGACAAGACAAAGATCGTTGTCTGTGCTCAAGATCTACATAGCTTATAACATTCTCTCTC